TTCTGCCTCAATGATCTGTCAAGTGGCGTCAGTGAAGTGTTGAAGTCTTTCAGTGTTTTTATTTTGCTATCTCTTTTTTAGGTCTACCAGTAATTGTTTTATGAATCTAGGAGCTCCAAATACATATAAAGCACCTTTATATTTGGGATTGTTATGTCTTCTCGTTGAATTGATTATTTTCTCCATATGTAATGACTCTTCCTTGCCTTTTAAATAATTGTTGCTTTAAAGTCTGTTGTATCCGATATAAAAATAGATATGCCTGCTTACTTTTGTTTTCCATTGTCATGAAATAGTATTTTCATCCCTTTACCTTGAGTCTGTGAGAATCTTTGTGTTAGATGTGTCTCCTGAAGACAGCAGACATTTGTTGTATTTTTAATTTTTTTTTTTTTTTTGAGACGGAGTTTCACTCTTGTTACCCAGGCTGGAGTGCAATGGCGCCATCTCGGCTCACCGCAACCTCCGCCTCCTGGGTTCAAGCAATTCTCCTGCCTCAGCCTCCTGTAATTTTTTTATTCATCTGCCAATTTGTATCTTTTAACTGGAGCATTTAGACTGTTTACATTCAACATTAATATTGACATGCGAGGTACTGTTCTAGTCATCATGTTGATTTTTACCTAGTGCCTTTGTTTTATTCATTATGTTATCTTTCTAAATGCCTATGACTTTTATGCTTCCAGGAGTTTATATTCCAGTGTATATTAACTTTTGTTTCAAGTTTTAGAACTCCATTTAGCATTTCTTGTAGGACTGGTCTAATATTGACAAATTAACTTTGCATTTGCTTTTCTAAGAAAGACTATTTCTCCTGCAATTATGAAACAATTTTACTGGATACAAAATTCTTGGCTGTCAGTTCTTCTGTTTAAGAAGGAGACTAAAGATAGGCCCCAGTCTTTTCTGGCTTGCAAAAATTCTGATGAGAAGTCTTCTGCTTGTCTTATAGGTTTTTATTTACAGATTAACTGATGGTTTTGTCTCAATGCTGATATAGTTATCTCCTTTCTGTTAAGTAGATAGCATTACTATATGCCTTGGTGATTTCTTTTTTGCAATGAGTCTCCCCTGATTTATTTGAGCTTCTTGTATTTGGATGACTAATTCCAGCAAGGTAAGGGAAATTTTCCTCAGTTATTTCCTCAAATAGATTTTTCAAAATCTGGGTTTTTTTTTCTCTCTCAGGAACACTTATGATTCTTAGATTTGTCTGTTTTATGTAATTTTATATTTCTAGGAGACTTTGCACATTCCTTTTAATTTTTTCTTAAATTTTGTATGATTGAGTTAATTCAAAATATTCAAAAATTGATTTCAGCTCTAAAATTCTTTTTTCTCCTTGGTATAGTCTATTATTACAAATTTCTAATGCATTTTACCTTATTCTAAATGTGTCTTTTTCTTTCCATAAGTTTTAATTGGATTGTCTTTAAAATTTCTATACCTTCATAAAAATTTTTCTTAATATCCTGAATTGTTTTTAAAATTTTTAAATGTTGTTTGTTTCCACCTTTCTTTTGTATCTCCTTGAGCAACCTAATACAATTTTGAATTCCTTTTCTGATATTTCAAAAATTCATCTTGGTTTGTATCTACTTTTGGAGTTAGTGTGATCTTTTGGGTCTTATAGAATTCTGTTCTTTTTTTTTTTCATATTACCAGAATTATTTTTCTGGTTTCTTCTCATTTGGATTGAATGATTCTTCTAATTATTTTTAAATTTATTTTTATTTTGACTGATTTTTATTTTTTTTCTTTTATAGAGTATGACTTTAATGTTTACAGTTTATTGTCACTTAGCTTTGGCTCTAGTTGATTACAGAGACAGATTCTGTATTTGTTCTTTGTTTATGGCGAATCTTTGAGCAACAGCTTTCTCAGATGGTAGTTATGGTAGCAATGTGCTGGGTGTGTGAGCAGGTTCATTCTCATGTGCCACTGGAATAGAAGAAGTCTCGTGATGCTTATCACATTATCAAGTGGTGTGTTATTTAAAAAAAAAAAAATCCCCCATATATCATCCATAGGGTGAAACAGTTCAGCCTTCAAGAAAGTAGGAGGTATCCACAAGTAAAACCTGCCTATAGCTAAAGCAGATGGATAAATGCAAAATATGAATGGTGGGTCAATGTCCTTGTTTTGACAGTGGAAATCGGGGAAGCTCTCAGTAAAACGAACAGAAGTCTTTTTAGGGAGAAGGGAGGGAGTTGCCACAGCCTTTCTTCCAGGCCAACTGGACAGTAATCCACCTTCCAGTCACTTTCCTGACCCGGTGTTTCAGCTATGGTTTTCCATGTAGAGAGGGATTTTGACTCTACCTCTTGTGCAAGAGTGAACTTGGAGTGCACTCCTCCTGTGGGGATGCAATCGCCCTGAAATGTTCCAGAAAGGCTGTCTGCAGATGTACCTATGCTTAGCTTCCATCTGAGAAGGCCCATTTGTGTCCATAGTAGTGGGTAAGGAGGAAAAAAGTAGTACCCTTCCCCAAGACCCTTCATGAGCACCAGGGCTGCCTGACTGCTGGGTTAGATCTGCAGAATTTCTCCACTGAGCCCAGAACTGCACTTGTGCCTATGGGAAGAAACTTCCCACAAGTGGAAAGTTCAGGGCCTCAAAGATAGCAGCCTGGCCTCTTTTGTCCCACTGGATTTTCCCTTAATGTGATATACATCTTCTTTTCCTAAGAGTAGCAATCCTGAGGACCAGAGTATTGTGAATGCTGCTGCTCCTCTGGGTGCAGCTACCTAGTAGAGCTGCCACGGTCCAGGCTGGTTTTGGAGAATGTCGGCAAGGGATCTAGTTATTTAGCTTGTCCTCTAGTCTCCTAGAATGGGTACCAGCAGCAGCTCTGTTGAGGCTGGGAGGGAAATGATGTAGACTCTGTGAGATTTCCTTGGTTATAAGTAGCCTTATGTGTTGGCTTTCTTAAATGCCAGCTTTAATAATAATGTACTGGGCACATGGCCAAACTCAAGACCTCCTGATTATCCAGTATGATGCAGGCAATTCTGATAGCTGAGGCAGTGAAAAAGCTTTCTAACTCTTGAACTTGGCCTTCAGCCAGGAGGTGGTACAGAGGAGTTTCAGCTACAATGGCAGTGGTGGGATTTGTGTTTACCTTATGTTACCCAAGGGAGGTACTCTGGTGTTTTAGGCAATGCCTGGAGCCAGGGAGTTCCCAAAAGTCTCTAGCCATTGTGTTATGCTACTAGGGTGTAGAGAGGGAAAAAGCCAAGATGAGGCTGAGTCAGACAAGTCCACATTCTTGTTCCCTATGTTTGGATACAAACAGCTGCCCCAATAAGAATCAGATGGAAGTTCCCTGGCCACTGGAGTAATGTTCTAGGGTAGAATGCAGCTGTCTCTGCTCCACAAAAGAATCCACACAGGGAGCAGAGAGTAGCAGGTGTAAGACCCACTCAACCTCCATGCACATGGCAAGGCAGGTTTCACATCCACATTTTTTTGCTAGCAGCAGCTAGCTGGCAAACAGGCAGCCTCCACTTAGAACTCAAAACTGCCCCAGGCCATAAACCTCCACGAAGTCAAAAGCAATGGCTTTCAGGTCATGCCCCTCTCAGTCCAACCAGGAAGCAAGGGTACTCAGCTTCTGCTCCTGTGGCTATTGAACACTTCCCATTAACCCCTTGGTTCTGGCCAAGAGGATTTATCCCCACTCAAGAATATATGACAAATTTCAATTGAGAACGCCTCTCAACCTGTGACCACAGCCTGATTTCGCTGGCAGAATTCCACAAGGTCCTTTGTGAGGTAAGATCAGGAGTGACTTTTCTCCATCGCCGCTGGAATCTTGGAGTACATGCAAAGCATGTCTTGATGCTGCTCCATATACTTCACGCTGCTCAATAAATCAGCCCTAGTACTGGGTAGGGCTAAAGCATTACACCATGGCCTGGGTTACCTGGCCTCTCTATGAGATTGTGTGTCATGAAGGGGATCTCTCTCACTTCGACGCTCTGCAAACTCGTAGCTTTCTGCATGGTTTATGGTGTATGCTCCTGCCTGCTGCTTTCGGCAAAGGGTCTGTGGTTTCTTTCAGTTTTTCTGTTAAGTTCTTGTGTTGCTTCTTGAAAAAAATGTTCATAACATGTATCTCTACACACCATTTTATCTTCCCAAGTGGGAGAGGCATGCTAATAATGCCTCCAATCCATTGTCTTGGAAATCAAATCTCCTTTGTGTTTTTGAAAAGGCATGAATGTTCAACAGCTACGTATCAAGATTATTGGCTAGGATAAATCTTGGTAATACATTGAACTGGAACATTTTTTGTTTTTGTTTAAACACATTTATTGTGAAGTATAATGCATATATGAAAACTGTATAAAATATCTGTATAGTTTAGCATTTGATTATAAAATGAACATCCAGTAACCATAACTAAGTTCAGGAAATAGAGAATCTTTTTGATCACAAAGTTTTTATCTCCATTAAAGATTGACTTCTGTTTTTTTGGTGAAAATTGTTTCTTTACTTTCTTTATAGTTTTGCTGCCAATTCACACATCCTTGAATACTATACTTACCATTCCCTGTGTTAAAATGAAAACTTTCAACAAGTTAAATTAAGCAGAGTTTATTTGAGCAAAGAATAATTCATGAATTGGGCATCACTCTGAACCAGGAGAGGCTCATAAAATGTCCAACAACATGGGCAGGCAATATTTATAGACATAAAAAGGGGGTTACAAACAGAAACAGATTGATTGATTACAACTTGACATTTGCCTTATTTAAGCATGATATAAGAAGATCTTTGATTTTTAGGTACATGATCTGATCAGTTGGTAGCCTATGATTGGCTGAAGTTTGGCTGTTATGATTGGCTGGGACTTAGCTACTCCTTACTAGAATATATCCTTAAATTAAGTTGCAGTTTGTTTATATATGAAGTTAGGCTGCAGTTTGCTGCGTAGGATTTCAAAGTACCTAGACCACCTTGGACCAAATTTAGTCTATTTTAAGACATCTTTTTGGCAAGTGTTTTAAATCTTTGACATATTTGACAACCTTCCCAAAGTCAGATTTCAACTATAAAATTAAGTCTTCTGTTTTTTTTAATCTTAAACTTCAAAATGTTACAGAGGGCCTCTGCAGAATCCAATAGGGAAATAAAAAGTATTATTTGATACATTAAATTACTTATATTTTAAAGTCAGAAAAATGTTTAACCTTCATTGAGATGTATTGTATTGAATATGTTATTAATATGTGTTCCAAAATTGTATATGATTCCTAAAATTATGATGTCTCGGTACATGTTATCAGTTGTAATTATTTATGTTAAATTTTTATAGGCCACAAAATAACAAAATTTTCTTGGCTTTGTGTCTTTATGCTTATTTTAAGTTGTTTTCACAGTTAATCACTTAATTCTGATGTAGTTTTTGAAAACTACACAAGCAAGTAAAATCCTAGAGTTTTGTGTTTTCAGTGATGTTCATGAAAGGGTGAAAGGACACTGAAAAATACTCTTGAATACAACATTCTGATAACTTAAGGATTATATCATTTGGACTGAGTAACAATTCCCCTAACTCTAATAAAAAAAAATGACTCGTTTGTAATACTGCTAATGCCAGCAGAACAAAAATTAACTGAATACCAAGTAAATACTTTGCTAGATTTTTACGGTAAATCTACCAGTACTGAAAATATTTGGATATTCAGTTTTAATAAACTTCACAATCCAAGTCAAATTATCTATGATAACCCATCTGATAAACAGTGTACACCTAAATTGGAGAAACAAAATTTGTATTTAAGATGTAAGTCCTATCCTAGAAATAGAAATTCCATTTGACCCAGCAATCCCATTACTGGGTATATATCCAAAGGATTACAAATTGTTCTACTATAAGGACACGTGCACACGAATGTTCATTGCAGCACAGTTTACAATAGCAAAGACCTGGAACCAACCCAAATGCCCATCGACAATAGACTGGATAGGGAAAATGTGGCACATATATACCATGGAATATTATGCAACCATCAAAAAGGATGAGTTTGGGTCCTTTGTAGGGACATGGAGGAACCTGGAAACCATCATTCTCAGCAAACTGACAGAAGAGCAGAAGATCAAACACCACATGTTCTCACTCATAGGCGGGTGTTGAACAATGAGAACACATGGACACAGGGAGGGGAGCACTACACACTGGGGTCAGTTGGGGGGAAATAGGGGAGGGACGGTGGGGGGTGGGAAGCTGGGGAGAGATAGCAAGGGGAGAAATGCCAGATGTAGGTGATGGGGAGGAAGGCAGCAAATCACACTGCCACGTGTGTTCCTATGCAACAATTTTGCATGTTCTTCACATGTACCCCCAAACCTAAAATGCAATAAAACAAATAAATGGGGAAAAAAAAAAGATGTGAGTCCTATATTAAATGTCGCCTCACAGAGAAACTGGATGACTCTGTGTGGTCTTTTTTGAGCCCTTAAAGCTTTCATTATTAAAAGCTCTGCATTCCATGACTAATTATGAAAGAGATAAGACACTTCAAATTAAATATATATATTTTTAGAAGTCAGTATATACATCTAAACATATATGTATTTAATTTGAATCATCTCTTTCATAGCATATGTATATAGTGACTTCTAAATTGCTAAAGTAGTTTTTGACCATTGTTTGGTTTGTCAAACCCATAATCCTGGGAGAACAATCAAACTTCAGGTACATCTCTGATACTTGATGACCCATGTATACATATATAGAGGGATTTCTTTCCATTGTAATTTTCGATGCATTTTTCTGTTTATATAAAAGCTTTCCCTCACAAGAGGACTGATGTTATAATGATAGCCGAAACATTATTAGGAAATGTGCTTTCCTCATGGGATGTTCCTGAAGAAATATCTAGTGACAGAAGTACTTGCTTCACTAGAAAAGTTGTAAAACAATTAAATAAGGTATTGCAGATGCAACAGCATTAAGCAAAGCTAACTGAATTAACTGGATTGCCTTCACCAGAGGTATTGTAGATTAATGACAGATTCACTTCCTATGGAAAAGCAAGTTGATATCTTGTTAAATAGTCACTGGAAGGTCTCTGTACCTAATAGTAGAAACTTACGTATCTTCTAAGCTCTGATATAACTAAATGTTACAGGTCATTAATGCAATGTGCCAAAGTATATTTTCACCAGGTAAAGAAAGCTTTTCAGGGTCCACTGACTGAGCACATTCAAACCCTTCACAATCTAGAACCCAGGTATTAGGTCTTCTGAGAATGACATCAGAGAAAGACTGATCTTGCCATTCACACTGCAGCCAAACTTCAGGACCTTGAAACTTGGGGTTGGTAGCTCACAACTGAGAAGGACCCTTCCTAACACTTGAAACTGTATGTTCACTGGAGATCTTAAGGTAAAGGAAACCAGGGAAGTTTCTCCCTAGAAACAGGTGGCATCTTAGACATGGACTGGTTTTATCCCAAGATTACAGATTAATACTTCTCTGTTATCATAAAAATCTTATTTCTCATTATTTTCCCTTGCTTCTCATTATTTTCCCTTGCTTATGCCTCTACAAATAATAGAACTGAAAATGAGGTCCCTCTTGTTCATTCATAAGGCATAGTTTTATTTGTGCAGGATTTTGTAGCCAATCTTATACGTGGACAGCCATATGCCTTGATAGCTAAAATACGAAGGGCCAATGTGGATGTGAAATGATAGCTTTGTTGCTTTATAATCAGTCAGAAATATAACATTGGTCTACTCCTCTTAACTTACATCAGAGACTAAAGAGAACATTTTCAGAAGGCCTTTAGATTTCTGGATGGGCATCCTTTGTTAGGCCTCTTTTTTCATGGATTAGAGGAAATAAAACAATGATTAGAAACGTATCCCTCATAATAAGTTGTGTAGCAGATTATACTGTAAAAGCTATGATCACACAACATATTTTAAATTCTGTTGCTAAACTTGTGCTAAATAATACAATTGTTCTGGTTTACCTAATGGCTAAACAGAAAAGTGGCTGTGCGGTTATTGATACTTCTATTTGCACATGGAGGAATACGTCAAGTATTTTAGAGGTTCGGTTACAGGGGATCAATGAAGAGGCTGCTTGATTAAAAGAAGTGTATTCTATGTAGCTCATTCTTTGATCTACTTGATTTTAGTTGATTTGGTTTGAGGAGATCCAGGGTAGTGTGCATGCTCCAAACTCTTGGTATTATCTTCCTGATAGCCTTGTGTGCTTTATTCTTACAAACGTTTTAAACATTTGCAGGCAGTCATCTCTAGAATGTCAAGGTTTCTCTTTGACTGTAACGACATAAATTGAAAAAAGATGTGTGACCTTGAGGACACCATAACTCATCAATGACGTGCCGAGGCCAGGAACCCAAAATGATAGTAACTGAGTGACACTAAGGTCCTGCGTTTTGGTTACACTATCACCTAAATGAGAACCTTACCAAAAATGAAGAATTTTTAAACAAAATTATGGGAAGCCATTGTTTTGGACTGAGCTCATCTACTAGACCTCAGCACACTAAACCAAACAAAAATAGTCATTCATGCTAAATTTGATATAATCAAACAAAAACTTTACAAAACAGATTAATCCTAAAACAGACTAGGTTTCGTTTTTCTCCTGTAAATAACAGATGACAACACAACAGATCACCTCTTTTCTAAACCTTTAAAACGAATCAGCCAAAGTCTTTGTCCCTACCTTACAAAAGCCACTGTTTTGCTACTTCCCATTGGGATTTGAGTACAAATAAGTACAATTATATTGGTGACAGAGTGACATCAATGCTTAAAGTTTTGGTCTATCAAAACTAAGAGGATAATAAAAAAGGGGGAATTATTAAAGTAAGTTTAGCCTAAAGCTGCCTCACAATGGCGGCCAACTGTTCAAACCAATTTCAAATAAGGCAAACACTGAGCGCTACTCATTCTGGTTGTTTCTGTACCCCACTTCCATTTTCTATACATCATTTTTCATTTTCTGTCCATACATTTCCTTCTACCATGTGGCTGCACTAAAGTCTCTCTGAGACTATTCTGATTTGGGAGGCTGCCTGATATACGAATCTTTCTTTGCTTAATTAAACTGTTAAAATTTTTTAAACAACATGTTTTGGGGCTTTTTTATATACTATTGAATATATATGTTCTCTTGAGCCTAGCCTCTTTTGCATAATATCATGTTTGTAAAATTTATTACTGTTGCTGTGTGTAGTTGTGTTGCCTTCATTTTTATTGCTTCATAGTGTGATGTTTATACGAATATACTATAATTCTACAATTATACACTTCTTGATGGCTATGTGGGTTTTTTTTCTGTTGGGGCTGTTATAAATCATGCTGCATATATTTTCTCACACAAAAGGAGTAGTGAAATTGCTGGGTAGTAGGATATGATTTCCCTCAATTTATTAGGTAATTTCCAAATTATTCTCTAATGTGATCTTACAAGCTGATACTCTCCCCAGCAGAATATGAAGTTCCATATCTTAAAGTGATTGCTTTCAATATTTCACCATTAAGAATGCTACATTATAGATTTTTAGATGATTCTTATTGGATTAAATAAATTCACCTTTTTAATAGCACTCTACCTGTTTTTAATCAGAATGGATGAGAACATTTAAAGCACAGGTTAGCAAATTTAGACATTTGAAATTTCATTATTCTAGTGGTGTTAATCACTCTGAGATGTTAATTTGTATTTTCTTGATCATGAATATGGTTGAACACTTCTTCATATGGTTATTGTTCATTTTGATTTTCTTCTTGTGAAGCCTCATATAAGCCGATTACCCATTTTTAAAAATTGGCGTTGTTACCTGTTCTTTTTTTTAATCTACACAGATTTGTTGTATATTCTTGGTTATATGCACGGTAAATATCTGTGTTCACTCTGTGGCTTATATGTTAATGTTCTTTATGTTTTTTTGATAAATAGAAGTCTTTATTTTTATTTTTCAAACATTCTATATTGTCATAAAAATCTCCAACATTGTCTCTAAATGGCTTTGTTGTTTTTTTCATACAAATATTGGTGTTTAATGCACCTGGAATTGATGTTTGAGTTTGGTGTATGGTATCCAATTATTTTTTACACTTTAATATTGTTCTGTCACCCTTTATTTAATTTTAAAAAGCCTTCTTATTACATCTTTTGCTCACTGCAACTTCTGTTCATAAATCAAGTTTCCATATGTATGTAAAAGTAACAATTCTTTGATTTCTTTTCTGTTCTATTGAGCTGTAGTGCCTGATAATTAACTCACCACATTAATTACTACAGCTTTGTAATAATCTTGATGATAAGTTTATATGGTTATTGATATCTGGCAGAGCTATTTTTACCCTCATGTTCTTTTGCAACATTATTCTGACTATACTTGGCCTTTGAATTTTCACATAATTTTTAGAGTCAGCTTATCAAGCTATCCACAAGAAAAATGGTTGGAAATTTTACTGATACGAAATTAAATCCATAAATCAAATTTTTGATAGTTGGCCTTTACAATTCATGTCTTTAATTTATAAACATTATACTTCTCTCATTTATTTTGGTCTTCTTTAAATAACTAACAATAAAGTTTTAAAAGTTTTCTAATTTTCTGTTCTTTTTTTTCTAGCTATTTGATATTTTGGGATTATATAAAATACTAAAAATTTCTAATTTTTTTAAGAAAGACAAATAACTTTACATTGCCCTTGTATTTAGCACATATCAGAAATCCAATTTTCATCCTGAATTTATTTGTAGATTCATTTTTATTTTTGACTTATAAAATCATATATTCTGTGAATAATGATAGTTTTATTTTTTTCTGACCATATTACCTCTTATTAGTTTGTAGATATATTCATTTAACTACTTATTTGTGACTTACTGAACTACCTAAGACATATGGTACACCATTAATGTTGATTTGGAATGCAATGAATTACAAACCAGTCAAGTTAATAAAGCAGTCTATGTTTCAAATCACCAAATGTATGGCTTATTTCATTCTTTAAGAATTCTTTGCTAGCCAAGAAGTGCTTTGCCTATTAACCTTTTTATTTTCACTGTTTTTAATTAACCTTTCTCGATTATACTTGCACATGTCAATTTTTTAAATTGTTAGATATTAATGAAATTTCTGAAAAAAAATTGGGCTGTTTTTTACATGTATGCATTTTTAGAGTACGCTTATATAGTCTATGTAGGTATCTGTGAAAGCAAATAGGTATATAGATACATAGTAACTACAAGCTACCATTAAGAGGAACAGAGCTTGGAAATTCCTTTAGGATGAAATGGTGGTAGTTATAAATGCCTTTCTGATCTAGGCACCAATCCTACATTAATATATTAAGATAGAGGTAAGGAACAAAAAGCTTATTGTATAAGGATGTGATTTCAGAGAAGGTGGTACTATTTTTACAAGGGTCACATAAATTTAAAAATTGATTTGAGTACATATGTAAATTATTTAGGTAGTTGCCCCATCTTCTCCCTATTAGAAGAATTTTAAAGCAGTAGAGTTTTCT